GACCCGACCTCTCCCCACCTGCGTCCCCGGGGACATCTCCCTCGTCACAGCTCAATTCCTGGACTGCTGAGGAAGCTGCTTTAGGGCAAAGCAGATGCCAATCTGGTAAAACTGGGGGGTTTTTTTCTCCAAAAAAGAACTGGAGAGAAAGGCCATCACCCCTGGCGTGACGCAGGCATGAAGAAGGTGACTTCCCAGTGACACCAGGCCTGTGTCCTTCCCTCCTGCGGCTGACCAACAGGCAACACGGGCAACTGCCGACCCCGGCAGAGCCTGCCTGCCACGCAGATTACTTCCTCTGCTGGGAGGATAAGGATCTTTTAATAACCTCATGGTGAGATCACAATCATGAGATTTTTTTCAGGGCATCCCCTACAACCGCTCTAAGAACTCCTCTCGGTGAGGAATCCCAGCTGGGCACCACTCTTAATGTCAGGAATTTACTCACAATTTCACTTCTGCTATTTTGTTTGCTTGAGGAATGACTGTGTCAAAGCCCCCCGCAAGTAAATGTCCTGACTTCAAGGCACGACCTTCCCTTGCACGCCGCCCAGACGCCAGCTCGGGAGCTGGAGAGCCGAGGGGTGTTTGGGCAGGAGGCAAAACCGGAGGTGGGGAACCCCGAGTGTCCTGGTTCGACCTTGACGGGCAGAGCAGAACAGCCGAGGGGACGTCAGCGTCCCTCCTCGACGTAAGAGAGGGAACGTTACTGGGAAGTGGGCAGTTGAGTCAGGTTCACCTTTAACTCACCAATGCGTCTGTCTGGGCGACTCTGGTTTCCTACAGCGACGGGGAGAAACGCTTCCCGGTGGTTTCGGTCCTTCCCTGCGGCGCCCCGTGCCGTCTGGTCCTGCGGCAGAGCGCTGCGGAGAGAAGGACAGGTCAGCGCTTCGCACGGGATCTGGGGTACCTGGGTTTGAACTGTGCTGCTTTTACTCCTATGCGACACCTCCCTCAGCGCTCAGCCTGAAGGCGGACTGCAGCGACGTCAGTTTGCGCACCTGGAACTGCTCCTGCCGCGCGCTCAGCGCCGTGTGCGAGCCGATGCCATCGCGGCGCGTCCTGTGGTGCCGCGGGCAGAGCTGGCTGCAGCCGCAGCGACTCTCCACCTGCTGGGAAAGTGAGCGCCCAAAGGCTGTTTCCATCTCAATTCACCTAAAGCCAAATCAGTGGAAAATAAACGAAGGCTTTAAATTCAGGATGTAAAAACATCTCGTGTTGTGCTTTTCTCAGAATGAATTACACCTTGCTAAAGCGCGGTAGAGCCTTACGAGTTCTGCTTTCTAAGATCATCCAGCTGCGTGTGCTGGGCAGGGGCCATCCCCGGAGAGGCGCCGGCACCCTTCCCGCCCCGGGATGTCCGTGTGCCTTAGCTGAAGGAGAGACTGCAAAAAGTCCAATTTTACACACAAGACATAGATGGGAAACCCAGGAACTGAATTCCCATGAGATATTTCGTTGCTGAATGAGTTGTGATTTAACGTCAGATCACTTCAAGATTACACGTTTCAATTCAGTTCAGCAAATCTGATGTTTCAGTTCAAGTGGAACCAACCCGAACCGAACTGTTTCTTTCTGAGCTAACTTCCTGTGGAATCTATTAGGAACTACATTTTCTTTTGAGAAGTTGTATCGATGAACAACAGCCATCTAGCTCTTGTCCTGCGACCTGGGCAACAAACTGTAATCACTGATTTCCACTCTTCTTGCAGTGAAGGTGAGCAGAGTAACCTGGATTCTGACATAAGATTGAAAATACCTGGTGACTTGACCTTTTTTTTTAACAATTAATTTATCTTTAGGGTAAGAAATGTGTTCTAGTGAGCAAACAGCACAGTGTGGCTCTCTTGGGCACAGCTCAGGCCTGGCACTGTTGAGAAATGCAGTATGTTCACGCAGGATCACACTTTTGTAAAAGACAACTCACGGGGCACGTGGCTTGAAGGGAATGTGTCAAAGAGACAGAATCACTAAGGCATGAAATAGGCTGCAAATACACACAATCAAATTAAGCAAAGCTTTAATAAATGTTTTGAGAACTCCCTAGGTACAAAACATGACTGTACACGAAGATTCAGTGTCATAAAGACATAGTAAATTGTTTATTTTAAAATATTCCCATCCTTTTTTAAGGAAAACAATTTACCTGAATTGGCTCTGACAACACAGAACTTGGCACACAGCTCAAGCCCGGGAGTACGGGCAGAAAACAAAGCGCAAACCGCCTGCCTGTCGCCCTTCTCTTGTCCTCGGCTCCAGCCACCATGGGTCTGGGGACGGATTCGCTGCGACACTGCCCTACAGCCCCTTCCCCTCTCCCTGGGGGCGGGGGGAGCTCCGAGCAAATCTAGGCGATCGTCCCCACGGCTGCCGACCCACCGCTCCCACAGGCAGCGCCGCCACTGCCTTTGAAGGCTTTACACCCACCATTTCTGCGTATTCTGCCCGTACCTGAGAGGAGTCTTTCATCTCTACTCCTTCTTGGCGGAAGTGGTTAAAAGATAAAACTCTCAAAGGCAGCGTACCTGCTTGGATAATTGATGAACAAAAGGAAAACAGAGCAATAAATAGAGTTGCAGAGATGTGAACTGCACCTGCCTGCAGAGATAAATCAAAAGCGAGTGTGCTGAAAAGCCGGCAATCATTGAATCATAGAATCACGGAGTGGTTAGCGTTGGAAGGGATCTCAAAGATCATCTAAGCGTGCTTAGAGAGTGCTAAGGAAAGTGCAGGTCGCCTTTGGTGGAGCCAGATAGAAACGCTGATAGTCTTCAAGCCCCGGAGGGGGGTGAGGCTGTGGGGACCCAGCACACTGCACGTTACGCGCCCCGAACGGGATCGGGACATCGGTGCAGCGCTTACCGAGAGGGAAACCCCGAGGAGGGTTTGAAGCGACAGCCGGGCTGGCACGGTGTCTAAGGAGGGTCTGAAACCGCGGATGGGCATTTGCACGGGATCTGAGACCACCCACGGGATCCTCGACTGCAGGTGTACTTATTTGGGGCTTGAGAGAGCCAGGGAGGGAAACGTTTGGCTTCACGTTGAAGCAGTTGGTGTTAAAGGCAAGGCAGCGAGCGAGCAGTAGTTTTAGGATCAGACTGACAGACTCAAATTGTGCTGAACTCCTGTTTTGGCAGCGGTTATCCATTGCATTATCTCAAAATAAATAAAAACACCCCACTGTAATGCTGGGTTTTTTTAGAAACACAAAATCTTCAGATATTCCAGTGCTAAACTATGCTAGAGGGAAACAAATCCGCTCTCCCCGGCAGTGAAAAGTGTTTACTTTTCCCAAGAGCCACTGACTACCGAACATTCTCTGGTTGCAGTGGTTTAACGTTCAGGAAAAGCACCATCCACAGAATGCTTTCAGCTCAGAGTGGCTGAAGGCACTCGCAGGGAGCCGGACTCTGCCTCTGACGGTGACACGAGCAGCAGCGACTTATCTGCTCCTTGTAATACATATCCCATATAACGGGCAGATAATTCAGACACTGATCAGATTGCCCTGAAAAGGACAGTGATTCAGCAGAGCCAGTGCCTGTCTGGCACAGATGCCTTTTGTAATAGCTATTTAATCACACAATTATTTGTCTGATGCAGAGTAAAAATATTAACTGTAAACGAGCCTAAATGCAACATAGGTAGCATAGGTTTTCCTTTATTTCAATTTGCTGAAGCAGAACTGTGGGTTTCTAGGTGTCTCCCAGCCACATAAACATCACCCGAGTTGTGTTCTCTCTCTCCCCCAGGCCATGGGTCTTTCCCGCCGGTTTTGGAAGTTCCCCGCTCAGTGAAGCGGCTCCTCTGGGTCCGCTCTGGGCTTTTCGCCTCCTCCAGCCCCGAGCGGGTGACCTGCAGCGCAGCCCCAGGAGCACCCGAGGTGCCGGTGGGGGTTGTACCCTCTCTCTGGGACCTGTCCTGTGCGGCGTTTTCCCGTTGTCCCACCTGCAGTAACAGCAGTGACATATCGTAAGAAGTTGCAGAGGATGAGATGTCAAAGCGAACATTTTGAGTCACCTTGGAAGGAAAGGGAGTCCATGAGGAGCTGGTGATGTTTCTACCTGTTGGAGGAGTCTGTTCAGCCCGGGGGTCCACCTCGGACGGCCACAAAACAAAAGCCCCCGATTTGTATTGAAGCTGATCCCTGGGGGAACGGGATCGGATGAAGTGACTCCCCGTCCAGGCAGGGACCAGAGCTGACAGTGCTGCGGGTCCTCCCAGGGCCACGTCCTGAGGGCTGAAACTTCTGCAGTAATGTGACGGTGGGGAAAGTGTGGGACTGCAAAAGTGCAAAATCTTTTGAGGAAGATGGTGCACGCTGATATGCAGCAGATGGTAACACAAAAACACCCAAAAGCAGAAAGGAGGGGGGGGAAGTCCACTTACTCGCTTGAGCTGCCGCTAATCTAGAGAGGACACTGCGAGCACGTGGGCGCAGGGCGGAGGGATGCCGGCCCCTGGCAGTCTTGCCCGCTGAGATTTTTCATGCAGTAGTTGAACACCTTCCCCAGAAAGGGTCTGGCAGAGGAGATGGGCATCCTCCCCGTTCCCTGCAGCACGGGGTTCTGGTGGATGCTCCGGCAGATGAGGGAGCTGGGGAGCTCTGCTGGGGAGCGGGGAGATAACGAGAAAGGGGACTCTCTCCTCTTGTCCCTTCGCCATCACCAATTCCCCACGTGTCAGTGCAACAGCTGAACCCACTTCACTTTACCGAGTCTCCGTACAAAGCGCGTGTGCGCAGCCCTCAGCTGCCCGCGCTGAGGAAGCACCAAAGAGCCCGAGTGCCTGACGGCAGCGTGGCACAGCACCGCTCTCCCGTGCTGCCGAAAGCACGAGGAGGAGGAGGAGGAGGAGGAGGGTCTACTAAATGTCAGCGACACCGCGGCACGTCATGAGCTTCTTGCAGAGGGGCAGGAAGTATAAAAGAGAGAGTTTCCCAAAGAGGGTCTCTGGCAGGAGCTGGGGCACGTTGAGGCAGCGCTGGAACGTACGATGCTCTGTGACTTCGTCTCTGCTTGAAACACGACCATGGATGGCGGTGAGTACCTGCCCGGCAGCCTCTGGCTTTGCCTTCGGCTTTATTAATAATGCCCAAATTCATGCCCTATGGCACAGGGATGAAGCACTTTTAACAGAGCATCTCAACAACACAAAAGGCTTTCATATGGCTCATAATTTTTTTAAAAAAAAAACTTTTAAAAAACCTTTTTTTTAAAAGACGTTAAAAAACCTTAAATCAATTGCTTCAGAAACACACACACGAAATAGGCTTGGAGGGGATTTCAATGGACTATTCTGTCCTAAAGCAAATATGTTCTTGTCATGTAATTCATACCTTTTCTTCCATGTTCTTAAAAAAGAATAATGAGTGCAACAGTGCTGTCCCCTTGGCAATATTTTAATTCAGTGAATAAATCAAGGAATTAGGAGCAAACGTATCTGAGTTTATTGTTGGTTAAGTCTGTCCAGTCTTATGCAAATTGTTTCTATTATTAATGAATATCTTCACTGTGGCAACAAAACTTTGCTGTAAAAGTTGGGGGGTTGCGTTTGCTCAGAGCTGGAACAGCCCTGAGTGAGCGCACTCGAACGGGTCCGTGTCCCCATGGACCACCCCATCACACCGCTCGCAGAGAGGCGCGAGAAGCCTCTTTGGGACATGACATCCCGTTAGCCCAGGAGGCACAAGACAGTTTGTTTCTGTTTCTTGCTGAAAGTTTCAAACCTTCTTTTGCCATTTGCCACTGTTCTCTCACACCCGGCCCTCCGCAGACACGAGCTTCCAGGAGCTTGAGTAGGCGGGCAGCCGGAGGAGGGGAACGGCACCGCGGGTCGCAGATGCTGCAGATGAGATGCAGGCTCTTCTTTCCTCTGAGACAGCATGATTTATTCCTTTTTCACTTGTTTTTATTTTTTTATTGCTCCAATATTTGCCAATACTAATCCCAGCGTGACTGAGGGAGTGCAGGGACGAGGGACAATGCAGTAGCTCAGGTGGGTAAGTTAGTTTATAACCAGATTACCCAAACTGGGTTTACAGTACAACCAATACATCTCTCGGCCAGAGAGCACGGTCAGCGCGGTAACAAGGATGGCGAGAGGGATGGGACAGCAGCCACAGAGTTCATCCCAGTAAAGCCCTGTTCCAGGTGTAATGAATTAAGCTTCGTAACAGGATGAAATGGGAGGTGTCACCGCCTTGTCTCTGTGACACTTTCAAATCAGAGCTTTAAATTAACCGGGATGTGAGCGGGAGGCTTCCCCGGGCTGGGAGGTGCCGGTGTCCCGTGGGAAGTGCTGCGGACAGAGCTCGAGACAGTCTGAGAACACACTGAGATTTGAGCGCCCAATTCCCAACCGGTGCCCGAGACTGTAGCACAAGAATGGGGAGTACTGCCCTCTCCTTTTCTGAAGAAATTACGATGCAAAATCTTAAAGTGACTCATGCAAAATCACCCAGAGAGCTGCTCCGGTACAGCTGGGAAAACAACCACTTCTTTTTCTATCACTGTCCACTGGTTCAGCCCTCAAACTTGTCCTCATTTTCACCCCCAAATTAGCCCTCGCTTTCCAGGCAGGGGTTTCTCCTCTTGGAGGTGTGCGGTGGTTTCTGCACTCAGCAGAGGGGTGTTCCCCCTGCGGTGCCCGAATGTGGAGCCACGTACAGGGCTGCCAGTGCTGAACCTGCGCGGAGCGAGGACGGGGCAGCTCAGGGTCTCCCAGCCCCTGAAGTGACACTGGGACGAGCCGCTGGGGGTGCAGGACGCTCCAGCGGCGCGGGCTGGAGGTGTCGGGTCCACCAGGACCCGCCAGGCAGAAGCAGGAGACTTCTCAGGAACGCCTCCTCGCAGCTTCTGGCACTCCATGGCTCAGGAAACCCCTGAATTTTGGAATCCCTGCATCCAAGCCAACTCGCCGTAACCCAGCTCGACCAGTTCACCACACATCACTTATCTCATTTAAACTTTTGGCCTCCACAACATCATGTGGGTGCTCTGCAGGTTTCTTGTTTCAAGGGGTTCGGTATTTGGGGGCACAGCTGTTACCCTGACTTTAGAGAATCGGTAACCGTTAATTATGACAGGAAAAAGAAAGAATTAGTGAGAACCTGACAACAAGAGTATGACAATTTTCCTGCTTTGGGTCTCTGTGCTACTGTTGTATTTCAGAGGAATATTCCAAAAGAAACATTTCACAGCACTGGAAGATGCACAGCATTATTGCCTTTTTTTTTTTTTTTTAAGTAGTTACATAGGAAACGTGATTGGCTCACTTAAGAATGAATTTTTAAACTTGCTTATCTCTGCTTATCTTGTCTTTGATTCACAATTTCCTAAAAGTGGCGGAGGCAGATAATTACTAACTTTCTTCTGTAACAGATCTATGAACAAATGAAATACAAGTATGACTTTGTCTCACTGGATTTGTTCACTCCTGAAATGATGGTATCTTTCCTCTGCCAGTTGAGAGAAGTAGAGGGGAAGGGGGGGGAGAACAGGTACTGAGCTCCTAACTGCCAATAGTCATTATATCGTTTAAGTATGATTAATTTTTCTCAGAAATATCCGGTTCTTTCCCCAAAAGCCTACTATAGTGATGCTGAAGAGGCACCAGAAACCGGTACATGTTTAAAGACATAAACAGTACGTTACTCACTGCCTACACATGTGCTAAGGTGCTCGAGACTGAAACTTTTGCTTTGCAGTTCTGGCCAACAGAAAAATCTTCTTTCACCACAAGGGTTCAGCCAGAGCAGGTCCGTTCGGCTTTGCCAATACTCCCTAAAGCATTCCCGACTCCTGCTTTTCACTTCGGGCATCCCTCAGCGCCAGCAGAGGCGATCGGCTGCTGCTCCTCGTGGGCTCTGCTCACAGCCTGACCCGCTCGGGTGGGAGCTGACCTACTGCTTCGTTCCGCAGGGTTTTGTCCAGTTTTGACCATCCCACATCATTGTGTTCCTGCTCCTCTTTCCTCCTCTGGGTAGACTTTCTGCTGCCAAACATCTCTTGTTGTCAGAAGCTTTTCTGGCATACCCGGGGGGATTCACTGCTACTACAGCTTCTCTTATCTCACCCAAGACTGGTTGCTGGTGCGGAGGGAGATGCAGATAAACTGGATGGGATTCATCCACCCAAGCTTTCCCACTCACCCTTCTCCCATCGCATGGCATGACCTGCACCCCAGGTACCCGCCCCACGGCGGCTGAACCATGCCTTAAAAACACCCGTTTCTTTCCCTTTGCTATCGAGGGATCCTAACCAACTAACCAGCTGTTGAGGGCCAGAGTTCAGTGGGATCAATCCCACCCCTTGTGATTATGAGGAAGATTTTCAGAACCGACGTGCTGCCGCCCCCTCCGCCCCCGCCCTGCCATCGGCAGCAGAGAGCAGACCCCGTCCCTCTTCCATTCGCAGGGACCAATCCTCCTTTCCACCTTTTCCCAGCTGCGTGCTTTTGGGAGCTGCGGCCAAGCAGTGCATCACCAGCTGAGGGACACGGGGATTACTTGGGGCTTTATAACATGTCCTGACTCATTTGCTGTAACGGGTTTTTGTTTTCTTTTTATAAATGAGGTTTCTAGTTCAACTGTTTGTGGGGACTTTTGAGAGGGGGGTTTTTTCTTAATATTTTGAGGAACAAAACTTTAGGAAAATACCCACAGCAGAGAACTGCAAGAGAAAAAAAAAAAAAAAAAAAAAAAAAAAAAAAGAAGAAAAGTTAAGCTACCTAAAATTGCCTATTGAACTCCAGAGCATGTCTCATTTCCTCTCTGCAACTGCTCCCTCCCCCCCGCTGCCCTGGACCCCCCAGAGAATGTGGGGAGAAGCGAGTTTCGTCCAGTCCGCCTGAAACTGGTGACGCAGGGACTCGCTCAACAGACTGGTGTGGGAAGACCACGAGGCTGCACTGCCGCTCTGGTTATGCCTCTGCAAATGCGTAAGCTGAGGTGGGGGGACAGAAAGGGGGAGAAACAGTGCAAGCTTTTTTTATATTGAAAAATCATTTGACATTTAAGACACCTGAAACAGCAACCGAGAGGGGGAAAAAAAAAAAGTGTGAAATCTTCAAAGGAATGGTACTTTGCTGAACTGTTTCAGGATCGTTAAGTTGAGTCACTTTACCAGCCCTATTTCGTTAGACGCTTCACAGTGTGTTAAGACAAAGGAAAAAAAAAGAGAAAAAAAAAAGAAAAACAACTCACCAGGGCTGTGCACTCACGGCATGTCAGGTTAAATAGGAGCTGGGCTCGACCTGGGGCTTGAAGGGGGGATGCAGAAAAAGCAGGGGAAGATGGTACCGCGCTTGGGGACGAGTGTCCCGGGCTGGTGCGGCAGCCTGGCACTAGGCGGCACCGTGTCCTTGGCGAGAGACCGAAAACTGCAAAGCACACACTGCTGAGAGCAACACGGTGATGGAGTCGGATTCAGGGTGGTGCCTTTCCTCTGTGGGCTGAGTGGCTCTTCTCCCCTGCCCCTTTTTTATCCAGCTTCTAGGAACTTAACTGCCTTTGAGGCCTCAGCCCCTGCCCAAAGAGGCTGAGACGGGCCAGCAGAGGTGACTATTGGCCACCAGCAGGCACAGGCAGATGTAAGCACCAACTCCAGGAGTCCCCTGGAAACCAGGCTATGAAGAAGGTGGAACAGAAGACTTAAGACTCCAATGGCTGGGGTTTTTTGCAGAGATCGGGGACCCTATGCCCCAGGCAGGGAGGGCAATTACAGTCAGCTTGCTTAAATTCACCCGGCAGGTTTAAGTGGTTTGGGCTTTCAGTGTATTTCCTGTGTGTAACATGCAAAAGTTACATCAGCAGCTTGACAGGAGAGATAGCTACACCAGATGCTCATCAAACCTCTTCCTGCAGTCTGGGACTGGTCAGAGCGAAAGCCATCGGACACGCAGAAAATAGAGAGGAAGCACTTCACCAAGCCTCCCCCCTCACCCCTCAAGCCCCACCTCGGCACGCTCCACCCCTCACTGTACACCGCACTAACGATGAACTATGACACTTTTCGAATTCCCCCAGGAGGACACAGAGAAGGCGAGGGCTGTATGAGCATAACCAAGCACCCAGCTGCACCAGTGTCAAAGATGAAAGTAAGGGGGAAGGCGAAGCACAAACTTCTACGAAACACAGTGGGAAGCCCACACAGGCGCTGGGGATGAGGACTATGAGTTTTTTCACATGTGGCTGAGGATCTCTCACCCACACATCACCACTCACATATAAACAAGCATCTCCAGTCACAGATAGCAAAGTAACTATTTCTGTTATTAATGATGCTATCGCATGTGACTTAAACTGGGGAGACAGGCACAACGGTTGCAGTTACCTGAAGCAGTGGAAGGTCATCGTCCCGGTCCGGGGCAACACCCGAACAGGAGACTGGTGGAGCAGGGAAGGGTGCAGAAGCAGCTCTGCAAAGAAACAGAACAGAGCCGGGTACGCCTGAGTGCTGAGCACAAGAGGGGCAAAGGAATCAGCTACATTTATGAACAAAGAGGCCATGAGGAGAAAGCCACACTCCCTAGAAGAAACAGGCAGGTGGAAGGCAACGGCACCTCCTGGCTCGGTGACCCTGGAGCAGTCAGCAGGGCAGCGAGGGGCTGCAGCGCTGGGAACTAGCCAGTGCCTGGAGAGACACGCTGGGATGAGCAGCATGATGCTCAGAACAGCCAACACCAACTCTCCCTCAAGTGCGGACAAATCTTCTGCTCACACCAGAGCAGACAGAGGCGAGGGCTTTCTCACAGTTGCCAGATCACCTTCTAGCTTGAGCAACTTTCAGTTGCAACTGCCTGAGGTAGATGCCAACATGTGCTTTAAATAGAGCGAAGAGAAAGCTTTCACTGACCTCTATGCCTCTGCTAACCACAGCAGGAAGAGCTGTTTGTCTGAGATTGCTCTCACCATTATCACATCTGGCTCTGAATTTAATTTTTCCTCCCAGCTGTCACCATCCTGTATCTCCACATCCAAAGGCAGCAGAAGCCAACTCTGACATTTACAGACACGCAGTAAATTTCAGGCAGCTTCACTCCTGTATACCCTGCAGGGAGCAGAGCTTTCCTGTTCTGCAGTCCAGTCACCGCACTGTCAGGGAACAGCTGGCCCAAATTTATTGCCCTCACAGCTGTATGGTTTTACATGGGTTGAGTACGCTACACCCTCACAGCTCAGAGGGCAGCACAGGAGATGGGATGCCGACTGTAGGAAAAAAAAAAAAAAGTGTAAAATAGAAGTGGTTACACTGTGCACCAGCTAACTGTCCTCAGCCATCAGCCTTTACAGGTGAAACTGGAGGAGCCCGACTCCTGAGACTTCCTCTGTGCTCTGACAGTAACTTGTTACGTTATGTTAGCATCTTCGTTGGGTTTTAGTTTACCCAACTGTGAGAAGCTTTGCAGGGCTGAGAATGCCACCGTCAAGTACGGTACCACCGCTTTTTCAAAGTGAGCCTCACGTGGAATCCCCCTCCTAACTGCCAACACTAACACACTGTCTCCTTCTTCTACAGGCAAGCAGTTACAGGTCGCCCTTGTTTTCAGCCTTCCTCTAATTTTTCAGGTAAGATGTTAAAAACAACATTGTTGAAATCCAGCTGCATTTGTGTTGTGGGTAAAGAGAGACCTCTGACCAGCAAAAAGCAGCCGCCCACCGCCTGCAGAGATGTGTGGGGACACGGCTGCTGGCAGGGGGGGCGGTGGGAAGCCGGGGAAAAACAAACAAAAGGAACAAAAACAGAGGGGGAACAGAAACAATAACATACACTGCGATTTTAAGATGCCCTGGGCTGTGAGAGCCAAGTCCCTTTCTAGCGCCAAAATGAGCATTTTGAGGAAAGACGAGAGCACCCTCCGCTGAGCGCTCGTGAAGAGCCAGCTCCTCGCTCTGCCGAAATAACCTGGTCACAGTGCTGGGCTTTAACTGAGGTCGGTGTTGAAGAGCTGAGGGGCCCAAGGAGGAACAGTTCAGCATCCTCCTCCGCCTGTTCCTGCCCAGAGGGAGTCTGCAGTGGGAAGGAGACCCCAAAGCACCGGGCTGTGCCGTGACCTGCCCGTGCTCCCACAACCACCGGAGCAGCCTCCGCCTCGCCATGGCCCCAGCTCCGGCTCTCCGACAGGCTCAGCAGCGCAGGGAGAGTTTTGCAGCCTGCTTCTTCTCCCTTTCACTTCTGGCGGTGTGCCTCCCGAGAGCAGGCAGGATGTGGTGAAAGCCAAGGCTGCCCGAGATGGAGAGTGCGCAGAGATACGCAGTGATAACAGGCAGAGGTATCCAGGGGAAACCTTTCATCTCCGTGCAATGGAGAGAAGGTGCTGGAGACTAATAAGTCACAAAAAAAGCAGGGCACAGATACCACAAGCTCGCTCTGCCCTGTAGGTTATGACAGCGTAGGAAGATGAAATGAGAATAATCAGAACTTAAATCAGGGGCAGGGGCCTGAATGAGACACCGGCAACGTGTCTGCGCCAGCACGGTAGCAGTTTCCTGCTTCACTCACCGTGTTTCATCCCCATCTCATTGACGCTTCTATTAACTTAGCAGAGAAACGGCCCAGGGAGCTCCGGCTTTGTCTCCCCTTCTCCCTCGCTGGGGCACGGGGCAGCAGCAGGACCGGGACACCCGGGAGGACCCTGCCGCTCGCCGTGCCAGGCTGCTGCTGGTTACAGACACAACCGCTGCAGCCCTCCGGCACTGTCGACAGCAAGAAGGGGACGTGAGCAACAGGAACATCTCAGATGGGAGAAGGGAGGGAATACTAAAGTTAGAAAATGCCTAACAAGTAGAGTCAGTCAGGAGGAAATGCTGTCCCTGCCAAGAGGAGAACTCCGAAGGATGTGTTGTTTTCCGTATCTTATCCGACAGCTGACTATGTACGTGCAGCTGTATGTGGGTCCTGAAACACCCTGGAAAGCAGCCACACGTTTGAGAGTTTGCAGGTGATACTTTGGCTGAGCACGACACATTTCTTGTGGAATTCCCACACTAAGCCCCCCAAAAAACCCCAAACCCCCGCATACTTATGGGAAACGTTTTCAGCCACAAGAACTCCCCAACTCTGTTCATGATGTTGGCATGAGCCAACGCTTGGGAATTCCCTGGGACTTCTCTGCGGGTGGGTACTCCTGCCTGGCCAGCACCGGGCTCCCCTCCCGACTCGGCCACAGAGGGGCACGGTGCCCGTCCCAATACACTCTTCTCTTCCCTGTTCTAGTTCTGCACTGGGAACAACGTCACCGATGACTATGACAACACCACCGTCGACTACACCATGTTCGAGACCCTGTGCGAGAAGGAGGAAGTCCGTAACTTCCGCGCTGCCTTCCTCCCAGCCATGTACTCCCTCATCTGCTTCACGGGGCTGCTGGGGAACGGGCTGGTGATGCTCACCTACATCTACTTCAAGAGGCTCAAGACCATGACAGACATCTATTTGCTGAACCTGGCTCTGGCAGACATCCTCTTCCTGCCGACCCCTTCCTGCTGACCCTCCCCTTCTGGGCTACAAGTGCCGCCATGCACTGGCTTTTTGGGGAGTTTGCCTGCAAAGCCGTCTATTGCATCTGCAAAATGAGTTTCTTCAGCGGGATGCTGCTCCTCTTGTCCATCAGCATCGACAGGTACTTTGCCATCGTGCAGGCTGCTTCGGCCCACCGCTTCCGTCCCCGGATGATATTCATTAGCAAGGTCACATGCATCCTCATTTGGCTCCTGGCCTTCATCCTCTCGATACCTGAGCTGGTTCACAGTGGTGTAAATAACTCAGACAACCATCCCCGTTGTTCCATCATTGCTAATGACTTGCAGACCTTCAACACTGGCATCAAAGTGTCCCAAATGATTTTTGGCTTCTTATTTCCCCTACTGGTCATGTCTGTCTGCTACCTCATCATCATCAAGACATTACTCCAGGCCCGCAATTTTGAGAAGAATAAAGCCATCAAGGTCATCATCGCTGTGGTAATTGTCTTCGTTGTCTTCCAGCTGCCCTACAACAGCGTCATGCTGGCCAAGACCATCTCAGCCTTCAACCACACCAGCTCATGTGAGGAGAGCAAGCAGCTTGACGTGGCAGATGACGTGACCTACACTCTGGCCTGCTTCCGATGCTGCCTCAATCCTTTCCTCTACGCCTTCATCGGCGTCAAATTCCGCAATGACCTGTTCAAGCTTCTGAAGGAGCTGGGCTGCCTCAGCCAGGAGCGCCTCTGGCAGCTCTCCACCTGCCGGGAGAGCAAGAGGTTTTCCTTCGCCATGGAGACAGAGACAACCACCACCTTCTCCCCATGAGCCGAGCTCCAGGCAGACTGTGACCGAGCTGGAGTAAATTCATACACTTTCTCTATTCTGAATTACTGGTAGAGCGAGACCTGCCACTACTGTAGGAACGGGAGCTGTAAGAGGAAAACCCAGGAGCCTCCCCGCATCGCGGGCAACGGGCACTGCTAGCCAACACTCCTGTGGCTGGAGAGACCTCAATAAAGCTGTGACTAAAGCAAAGCAAGGGAGAGGGAGACCGGGGAGTCAGGAATTTATCATGTCATTTCACCTTTATTTTAGTCTTTCCTAGCCAAAATGAAAAGTGCTCAAAATAGAACATTTTCCCTAAAAGCAACAAATATACCAAGAGAAACAGACATTTGTGAAACAGAATTGCTTTAGAGCTGAACTTCCAAGAGCATCATCCTTGCTTTGAATGTTGCTTTTAACAAGACTACCTATTGCTCTTCCGTACCTCTAGAAATGATGCCCATTGGGCTGATTCAGTCTTTGAGACCAAAGAGCACCAGCAGTGTCAGGCTCTAAGCTTAATCCAATATGCAATATAAGCTGTGAAGTATCCTGGTGCACAACTCTCTGCTCTGCCTTCCCCCATGAAAAGTGAGATTTCCATAACTAATACTAAATCCATATGTATGATATACATAATTTCAATGACTTTGCATATCATGGTGGCGATTCATACGTTTGTCAGGAAAAGCACAAACTCCACTTCACTTCTGCCTGTAGCTGGTGTTTCACCTATACAGAAGGTGTATCCTGAGGAGCACAAGTTGTTCCATCCCAACATTGACTTGAATTCTTCAGAAATGCCGCTCCGCTCTGGAAGGAAAGTCTCCTTTAGCTTCTGAAAAGACGTCTCCTGCACAGGGCAGGGGTAGCTAGCACAGTTTAGATTCAAACTTTTTGCACAAAGACAAATTAGTTACAAGCTCCAAATAACTGACGTCTTTCCAATCACCAGCCATGCAAACTTGAACTAAGAGACAGATACTTCTGCACCAGTCCAGCCAGGTGCTTAAAATGCATTTTTACCACTCAGGCACCTCGCCTGTCCCGATGTCATCCTTACTCCAACGTGTTGAGGGACCGTTTACTCCCTTCCTTGATATAAAGCATGTGCTTTAGTGGATGGGTGCCAGAATCCTCGGAATTTTAAAGATTCAAGCCCAGGGCAAATCTGTACACATTTCATAAGGCAAAATGCTCAAATTCAAGATACAGCCGTGCCCACAGTCCAACCCCTTCAGCCTGCCAGTATCTGAAGCTTGCCTGTACCTAGCTTTATCGGCTGCTGCGACAGTCTGCTGACTTTCACACACGTGTGGCGGCCTTCTGTGTATTGCTTGCTGACCTCAAGAGATAAACAATAATGTGGGTTTTCTTCTCCCTTCCCAACCAATGTGTCTTTCGAGAAGGACTTTAGCAGCTGGCTTTTAAGTCAGATATGTATTTCACTTATAAGCTATTGAAAACGTGTTTTGCATTCATACTGTCAGTGCTAATAAAGATGCCATTCTCTGTGGTTTGATGTAAATGCAAAGGACAGTCACATGCTGAAGATTACTGCCAGGGTCCCCTACTTGAAAGGAACACAGCAGCTGAACAACAGATTATTGTCATGTAAAATAAGACCTTGAAAAGAAGCCCAGAATGTAATGCCAGTTGGTGCGTTTACCAGAAGAGTGAAGATTCCTACCGACAGATGAATACCCTGGGAACTGCTGTCACGGGACATCTGAGCATCAACTGGGGAGGAGTTGCTGCAATTGTTTGTGCATCTGTTATTGACTTGCGCGCTGTAATCCCCGTAGCACAGCCCTCCCCAGAGCCAGACGCCAGCGGCGAAAGCTCTTGGCCAGGAGCCGCTCTCGGTGCTGGGCAGGAGCACGGCCCCTCACCCTCCAGAGCAGCACCTGACCAGCCTGGTGCAGACTGTAAGGCATGTTCCAGCGAACACACAGAGCAAAACACACTTTTACTAAGAGGACATTCATACTTTTTTTTTTTTTTCCAATACACATGTGGATCCATTAGGAGTGATACAGGGAACTCTCTGGATCATAGGTTGAAAAACATTGCTTTAGAGATAGGAGAACTAAAATCAACCTTCCAAGGAAAGAATTCAATTAGCCGGTTTTGAGACAATGTTGCCAGTTATATAGCTGCCTACCATCATAATTAAATAAATTCTTCTTCACAAACCATTTGGCTCTGGGGTATGGGATTTTGCCAAGAGCTGGGATTCAGGAAGAAAGCACACGCTGCTCCGCAGCGCCCGTCTACGCTGAAGTACAATCCCATCCAACCACTTAACGTATTTCTTTCATAACGCCCATGTAACGTGCACAGAAGTGCTGCTTCTCTGCCATGTGAAATGGGGGTTACAACTGACACTGAAGAGTCATTTGTTCTTGGTTTGTTGCTATAGTCCTTACTCAGGCAAGACACTCAGCTAACAAGAACTTGGCCAGAGCAAGGAGTACCCATAATACAGGGTCTTCTTAGTTCTCTTCAACAGTAACAATATATTCTTAATATATATTCATGTATGTAAAGCTGCTTTACACAGGAAAAAGTTAAATATGTGTATGAATGTACCCTGAAAATACACTGCTTTAACCAAAACACATTCACCTAACTTATTCTAGCAAGGAAAATTGCTTCACCGAAACGTGCAGTTGTACTTGTCTCCTGTTTGATAAAAGCCATTCCCCTTCTAGAAACTGAGAAGTCTTCAGGTCTTTATTGACTTGATGTATTCTAAATAGGAAAACTTGCAGCTGCTTCTATACGAACGAGATACTAAAAGCATCACCTCAGACAGCTGCACTGGGGACAGCCACCCCAACAAGACAGCGGTGACTTCCCAGTGCATGGTTGGTTGTTGGTTTTTTGTAAATTTAATGGGCACAACAAATTTGTCGCTTATTTAGATGAATCACGTTAACATTGGCCTAAGATCCTAACTTGAGATTCCCCACTGAAGTCTGAAAACTGACTGTATTTTTGCTCTTTGTGGAAAATAAATTATAACAATTTTTAAAAATACCTTTGTTTTTCCATTGTATTTCCTCCACAGGATGTGTCATAGTAGTTCATGTAATATCCTTCTGGTCCCATCAAGAGCTGTTTTTAATCAACCTAGCTTCATATTGGCGCTGCCCTGCAGGAACAAATGTGAGTAAAATAAACTGATTAGGAAAAAAGTTACTTTACTTCATCTGTTGACAAATTATACAGCAAACAAGTCATCAACACATTAAGTAGCAGTCTTCATTTCAACTATTAACTCAACTGCCTTAATGCTGCTCCTGTACCAGATATACCTGATGGCTACTTACCAAAGTTTACGTGAAAAGCCTTTATATTTTAACATTTTATTGTTCACTATTAAATTAAAACAAGTCAGTAATGCCATACCATATTACTGGGCAAACTGCTCGCGGGGAGAGGCAGCGACCGCAGCCCTGGTGGCCAGGACACCTCTGTACAAGGTAAGAGCAGTAACGGCCGTGCTGGTTGAGATGAGCTATCTAGTCCAGCTCCGCAACTCCAACAGGCCAACGTGGCACGATTAACATGCACAGAACATTTCTGCCTGACCTCCCCGGTTAATTTATGCCTCAAGGCACACAGGGAGGATATATACCCTTTACAAAAAGCATCTTATAATTGCAAGCATGGAATCAAAGAGGAGGGAACCTCAAAGAAAACCAGAAGACATGAAGCTTAGCATTTGAGCGCCAAAACTAAAGACTGTTTCTGCTTTTGCTAAAAAATGCACGTCTTTCATGGTTTCTCCCTAGAGAGAAAGTATTAGGCTAGTTTCAGCATCCGGCCCAGAGTTTCAAGCGGCGATAAGGAGCATCTCAAGACCACAGCACCACAGTACAACTCTAGATAGTAGCAGTCTAAACCCAAAGCTCCTGAAACAAACATTAGGTCTTGCTTACCACAACTAGGTCAGAAGTCTCAACTGCCCTGAGTCCAAGGAGCTTCTCTGTGCGAGAGATGCAGCCTGCTGAAACAGGAGCTCTGCACTACGCCACACAAAATACGAAACAGAACCCAGGATTTGCAGAGAGCTGCCATGCTTTTAACAACTCCCTGTACTTCTCAGAGGTGGCTGCAAACCAAGCTTTTGAACAGGAAACTTCCTGAATTTCAAGAAAACAGATTCCAACTTACAACCCTGATTAAAACCAGTAAAGCTCAGCCCACCAAGCAACAATCCAAGGTCACGCTCTAGGCCATGAACATCCCAGCCAAACCACACAGAATCTCCTGTAGGAAAAAGGTGCATTTCTAGGATGGATTTAACCCATTTTAGCACCTTTCACCAGCCAGACAGAGAAAGAAGTTTTCTTTTACAGTTCACTGAGGGACTGTGACTAATGCCAGTTTTGAATTTTCTTTAGAAAGTTAATTAAAAAAGCCTGGCCCTCCTTATGGAAAGGAGCCACCAGTCTGCAATAAACTACATCACAAGCAGGAGGGACACCTGCCACCCAGTCACAGCGGCGTGGGCTCCAGGCGGCTCCCGCGACCCCTTCCCCGAGTCCCTGTGGGAAACCTCGGCGTCGCTCAGGAGCCCTGGACTCCTCATCGCTCCGAATAAAGTATCGCTGCTAATCATTCTCCTTCCCAGCCAGTTCTTCACCTACGCATGTGTGCTGGTGTGTATTCTGAAGTTATGGTTTAAAAGCCCTCGGTGCCAAACGGATCTGGGCAGGGCAGGAGGTAAACTGAAATTAGGGGGTAATTAGCTAAACACAGTTGCTCCCATCCATCCCAGAGCAGAGCGGGCACCGGTTTGTCCTCTCCCTTCTCGTGCTGTCCCAGGCGCTGCTGCCCATCACTTGCTGGTGAATGAACTGATTAATGTGACGGTGAAGGGGAAGCTTCTCCAGGCACAGCTGTGGTTTCTGATGTGCCACCTGGGCAGCTGCGGGAGGGAAGTCCTTGTCACCCTAAGAAAGAATGAGCTGGCCTTAAGCGAGGCAAAC